TGAGCCTTCCCTCCAAGTAGCATGCCTGCAGGAAATACTTCGCCTCATACCTAGCAGCAGACTTTTTGCAGTGCTCCTGTGTCTGTCTTTTCCAGCGGTAGAAGGTCCTCTTGGTAATGTTGTACTTGTCCTTCAGGCTTGGGTACGAAAACTGAGAGTCCGGGTTTAGCAGCTCCTCGCTTTTGGTGGGAGACGCCCTCTGCTCGCTGTCGGTATTTCCAAATGTGAGGTCTCTGGTCTGGGCTAGTGCAACAAAATTATTTGGCCTGAACAAGGCCTCTGACTGGAGCTCGCCAGACCACATGATGTGCAGGGTTAGCGGCACAGAGTCTTTGGGCCAGGTCCTTGGACGTATGAGCCGGTTGAAATAGGGTCGGATTTTGAGGTTGAACATGGGATAGATGGAGTAGATGTTAGACTCAAGGACTGATGACAGGGCGTAAACGTGCCACATGTTGGCGTAGGAGCCGGGGAAGCAGGAAGCTTTGACGTCTGCATCAAAGATGGCCTCCAGGACTGTGACAGGCAAGTTGAGCATGTCCTCGGACTCTTCAGCACAGAGACTAAAGCGAACTGCCTGAAGCATCATTTTGGAATCAATCATCCCAGAGAGGTAGTATCGCTTCCACAGCACCATTTCCACTACAGTCCGCACCTGTGGAGGAACAAAATGAAAAGAATGTAATCACAACGTTTAGATACATAAGTAGCACATAAGCATAACAGTATACATTTAGGCCATTGAGACAAATATAAAACATCAATGCTCACTTGTAGCTCCAAGCTAAGTGCTGTGTTCCCCACTAGCAGTGTGCTGACTGCATCAAACAGTAGGTTGCCTTTTCCACTGCAGTTTAGAGGCAGGAGGTCTCTAGGTGCATCGCCTGGGTACAGGTCCCGGGCCACGTCATCCACGCCTGCCCACTCTGGGAAATCTTGACAGGGGGTCCTGGGGAGCTGGAATGGAGCGAGGACCCTGTCCACCCCCAGGGCCACTCTGGTAACAGCATCCAGACCGGAGCTCTCTGTGGCCTCCTGGAGCTCTCTCAGCACGGACAACACAACCTCGTTCCTCTGAATCATACCTGGAGATCTGATGAGACCTGGGAGGGGGAGAGGAAAAGGAAAAGTTAGGAAAAAGACTGAATCCAGTAAAAACAACAAGTTTGACCTAAAACTCTCTTAACAGCAGGAGATGAGCCTCATAAATTTGCTCTGTTACCAGTAGACTAGATAATGTAGCTTGTGACTCGGTTCAAATGTTCTGATGTCTACTCCCTGCACAGTTAAGCTAATCTATAAGGTGGGATAAATAAATTTCTGGGTGCCGTAGACAAATATATTATTGCATGATACTTTTTGTTATGTCCCTTGATATCCTGATAATTATCAGGATGGATAATAATACATTGTTCCTTCTTCTTTTAGGTTTAAATGGTTTCAGGTTTTTTGCTCTTTAGAGTTCAAGAAATCCAACTTGCTTTAGTCTGACCTTCAGGTTTTGGAATGTAAAATAAAAATCCATGGATTGTGTTTCAAACAATTACAATTAATCATTAAAATACCATGTTAGAGCGATTTAATTTAGACGTTGAAACGTTCAAATGGTTAGAAAAGGAACAATATGACTGAAACTAAATACAACTCATTCAGATCAAATTCAAAGTCATTACCTACAGCACTGAGGTCCTATTTACGTCATTTATTTATTGTTTTAATGCTCCTACAAATGAATGTGCTTGTTTCTTTTATTGTTCGAACACTTAATTGTTTTTTCGACGCCTAAGCCTCGTGTCTTTACTTTAGAATAAAAGAAAAAACACCCCCCCTCCCCTTTAATCAAGCCGGGAAACAATAATGCTCTTACCTGAGCGTCCAGAGGGTGAAACGTGTCTCAGAGGATTTCACTTCTTTGTGTTTTCTCCAGTAAATTCAGGGTTTCACTGCAGGTAAGTTACACTGATCTCTCTCCGGGAGATTTTCGGTCCATTGTGCGCGTGTAGCTCCGGGGTCGTCCTGTCCTGTTCTCCGGGGGAGCACTGGAGATTTGGGGGAGTGATAAACAGCACCTCCCATCAGGAAATTGTCAATCGTCGATTCGCCTTTTTTGTTTTCTGCGTCGGGAAAACACCTCCCTCCTCCTCCCTCCTTACCTTCCTCCCCCATCCCTCCCCCCCTCCTCCTCCTCCTCAAGTAGACTCAGACCAGGGTCAATTTCAATGTGAAGTGTTAACAAAAGCCAATGTGTCAGGGGCCACAAGAACACAGAGGCAGCAGGGGCCCTGCAGTGTCAACAGGTATTGGTTTGCTTTTAGGTTTTTCTTTTTCTTTTCCACATGTCATCAGCTCGGTTTCAAGGTTATTTGTCAAGTGTTGATGGTGTCAAACAAACACAAGTGGTTATTTTTTACCTGTAAATAAAATCTCCTCTTTCTAATGTGGCTGCACAGAAACAATATTGTGTTTTTGTTCATGTGCTCAGTTACATCTGTGTGACTATCCTGGGGGAGGGATCCCTCATGTGTTTTTGCCCCCAGAAAATGTTTTCGTTGGTAGTTACATGGAGGGTTAAGGGCAGAGTTTGTCGCACCATGTCGAGCCCGATGAGGCAAATCGTGATTTGTGAATTTGGGCTATAAAAAATTAACTTCTTCATTGATTGAAACATGTAGAAAACTGTCCCTGTTGCTTGTTAAACTCGAATTGTCCCTCAAGGCCATAATACAAAAATAATGCAGCTATTGCAGTCATGAACTTGCTCTTCCCTTCACACGTAGTGGACAGTCTGAAGGCGAGTATGTGGATTAGAGTGGATATGTGCAGACAGGGTGTGGACATGCAGCTTTATGAGAGAGGAGGAAGGCTCCAGCTCTATTTGTTTCTCCACTGTATCACTTTTCACACCTCCTCTCCTGCCTTTTGCAGGATTTCAGTAATCAAAGCCTTTTGTTCCACACACGCACAACAATCCCATCGAATGTGCCCCCGACCCAACCCCCGCGGGCCCTCACTGTGTGGATCCCAGCCCTACAGCTTGTTATCCCTACATACACACACACACTTACCTTCACACACCAGGGGACAACAGCATTTGGCCCCCACTGCTCTGTCCACCCCAAGCACTTGGCAGACAAGCTGGTGCCTGAGTTCACTGGGGTTCAAGGCTTTGACCTAAAGCTTATCAGCTATTTGGACAATGAGTGTGTGGCTGGGTGTTTGAGGAAGAGACCCCCCCACACACACACACCACACACACAATCTTCTTCTCAATCTGAATGTGTTAAGAGTCTGTCGAAATATTTGAAATACTGCAGCTAGTTCAAGAAAAAACATTGCAACATTAAACTTACCATACATTTTGAAACTGATGAGACGTTATGTGAGGTCAGACAAAGTGTTGAGTGAAAGTTGCATCAATTGAGCGGAGTGTAAGGAAGAGGTCACACCGACCTCTCTCCCACATATTTCATTTTAAAAGCACATGATTTCATCGGAAAGTAAAAAGAAAAGTTCAAGAAACATCTAATTTATTATGAACCAAGGGATGATAGAATATTATGTCTTTACATTGATGTTGTAGAAGGGCCTCATAGCTGAAAAATGCTCTCAGTGCTCCACAAAAAGCAAACACTAAATATGCTCCATTAGCCCTCCTCACCTTCATCTTCTATTCACTTTAATGTCCTAAAAAAGTTTTTAGGGAAAGATGCTCCGTCTAGATTAAATCAAGAAAATCAACATGTTCAGTAAATCTGCTTTCGTTTCATGTGATAAGTAACGAGGGCTTCTTCTCTTTATTCACCCTCCACTTTCTTGTCAATGTGTCTTCTTACCATCTCTTCAACCCCCTCAGATTCTTGGTTGTAGCCAATCACACACCTTAGGTGTGTAGATTAGCTGTGCTGCACTGCACTGTGAACACAGTAGTGGGCTGGCTGCAAGTATTTAAAATGCAAATAAGGCAACACTGGGACCGGCTCCGGCAGTCTCTCACCTGCTGTGGCTGTTGGTACACTGTGTGTGTGTGTGTGTACGTACTGGCAGCAGAAAGCAGCAGCAGCTGTAGACTGAAGCCTGGATCACAAATTCCGTTTAATTTAGTGTTTGCAAAAGGAAAATTTCAGGTTTGTGCTCAAAATCAAGAGCCATTGGCCGTGAAGCTTAAGCTACTGAATGTCAATACTCCATCAGCTGCATGACTGAACAGTACCACTGAAATACTGTTCTTTGGAAACACGTTTCTTGTTTTTATCACCACCATATCCTGCAAGTTCCTCCCCCTGGTTTGATATCACTTAATAATAGTATATCTCAAGTAAAATGAGTCTGCATTCAGCAGCAGTGTAACTAATCCCCCACTCTGCCATATTATTTGAAAGAGAATAGTTAATTCTCATCTGTTTGCTGTTTTATTGTCTTGTACTTTATGAAGTACCCTTGATGTAGTTTCCCTTTACACAAATGATGCAGGAAAAAAATTTTGACAAATGTATCCATATATTGTTGTGATGGCTCACAATGAAGCACACGCTTTAAATACAACAAGAGTCGAAAAATGTGTAAGTCCATAAAGTTTAAGCTTTACGAGAGTAAAGTTTTATTATAGACCTGAACATGAATACACATTTGCAGAGAAATTAGTCAGAAACATGAACGACAATACACGTGTTAATCTCTTTTACGTTATATTAAAAATTATACATAATTGTAAATACAATGTATATAATCCAACTGTTCACCTGTTGTTTAAAAGCCTGTCATTTCTATTTAAAGATAAGTAAACACACTGAGGTAGATTGTTCAAAAACTTCTCACATCTTTTTATATCTCACCACTAAATCACCAAAGTAAATAACAAATACCTCTTAGACTTATGTGTTGACTACAGTAACAGTACATTGATCTGATGTGGAGTGTTTCACAGTATTGGAATGTGCAGCAGTGGCACAAGAGGAGCTCAAAAACAAAGTAAAAATACATATTATATATTGGACAGATGACTATTTGTACCGTACACAGGAGTATTCAGTGGACTCACAGTCATGATCCCACACTCTGTCAGAGCCGCTGGGGAGAATAATGTCAGCGTAGATGACATCATCTGTATTCACGACCTAAAGACATACACAGATGTACATTTCAAAATGCTCCAAAGAGTAAAAGAGGTGGCTGATTGCTGTATGTTATCGACATGTGACTTACGGTGATTGTACTGGACTTGTCTGAACAAGGCCCTTCGGACAGCTGGTTGTCTGAAAATACAAATTAACAGATTCATATTATTATGTTTACTTTAATGATGTGTCAGAGACACAACCACATGTGATCAGTTCTCACTTCCCTTCTCTACATGCAAATGAACACGTGTGTCATTTGTGTTACTTCAGACCAAATGATGTTGTTTCGACCCAGTCTGAGTTTACAGATGTGTCTGATATCAGTGTTTGTGCTTGAGTCAGGACCTACAAAGTGTTGAAACTTATGACTCATGAGGTTTTACATTTGCAAAATATTTTTACTCGATGTGAGAACCATGTGGCAACAGAACTTGCCGGACATTGGCACATCTCATGTGCATTGCACACTTTTGGAAGGTGTCATGTTTGGACACATGTTCCAAAGTGACTGTGACACACACATGTACGGCCTTTTCTGGGCAGAGTGATTTCAGCAGACCCTTCCTATGGTTTCAGGATGTTTGGAGAACTTACTTGTTCTTCTTCTGTTCAGAACAAACACTGCAACCGCCGCTGACAAAACCACGCAGCCTGCAACCCCCACAGCTGCCCCGATCATGTCCTGGTTACGACCTATAGAAGGGTTAGGAATATCGTACTGAAATATTGAAAACACGCCATCCACAGCCAGTCTATATTTTTAAGCAATACTTTGAGAGTTATACCACTATGTTATTTAAATTTAAATCAACCTGGAGTACCGGAAATATTTCCTCTTTGTATGTCTATGTAACTTAGTACTTAGTGCTTTCTACAATATTATTATCATGTTTGCCTTTTGCTGTATCTGTAGGATTATTAATTACATATTTTCAGTTTTTATATAAGCAACAATGTTGCTCTCTGTAGCACACCTTGAATTTCAGGTCCCGGGTCAATGATGAGGACTCTTCCCTTCCCTTTTGGAGCTACAAAGAATAGAAACATTTGTCGTTAATTCTTCTGCATTTAACAAAATAGTGGTCTACTGGTTGGAATCAGTCACAAACAGACCTGGAGCTGTGACCAACAGCTCGACCGATGTCTGGACTCGTTCAAGCACAGTCGCCTGACACCTGAACTTCAGGCTCTCAGGACTTCGAAAGGCAACAGTCAGAGTTATATCACAACAGGACCACTGGGTTATCTGATGCTGGGCGTCGGTTTGAATCTCAGCACCGGCTTCGTCCACCCACTTCAGGCTGATCGCCTGTTGTCTATTGTTAAGGCAATGTGCGTTCTCCACGAACGAGAGTAAAACACACTGCAGTGACACTGTTTTGTTGGGCAGGAGTTTTAACTCTGGGGCAGAGTTATAGGCTGAAAGAGAGACAACAATTTTTCTCCTATCAGATGAAATAGATTCTGTAGTTTTCAGTTTTTAGGTTAATCTATAGATTCTAGTTATGCAATCTTTAGGCTTTAATCTTTAAAGCACTCACTCTCGTAAGTAGAGATGCCGTTTGACCTTTGTTGGCAGCGATGATGTCCAACATCCCCTGTTGTGGGATGTTCCATTTGAAGAGTGCAGCTCTCTTCCTTTGATTTAAATCTCTGGATCTCTCCATTACTGATGATGGCGATGTTCTGACTTCTGCTTCTGCTGCTCTTCCACAAATGAAAGCAGACAATGTCCTCTTCACAAGGAAATGTAATATCATAACCCCTGTCTGCAGACGTCAGGGCTTCTTCTCCATCCACACCTGTATACAGAGGACAAAAAGTTATTCTGCCATTTTTAGAAAATAAGATTGTACAAGAGAAATCCAAATGTAAGATTGTGTTAATGTTTCTTTTACCTTTTCTGATTAAAGAAAGCAATATCAGCGTCTCCACGATATGAGCAGTTCCAACCATCCTGTGTGCTGATCTGTTCACTGTGAGCAGCTATACGCCCGAGCTCTGTTCACATTTGTCAACTGTATTGTGGCTTCCTGCGTTTGTCAACATCCTCAACCTGCTGATTTGGAAAATCCAACTGTTGGTCAGAATGTGAAAAAAACCAGAAATGATTCACACAAACAGAATGAAGCCTTTTCACAAATACAATAAAGTCATGCAAGATGATGTAACGCAGAATTTAAACATTTCTTTTACTAGGAAATTGAGTATTATGTGTAATTGCACAAGAGTGGTTTCTGCAGTCAAGGGTGAAATTGATAAAACAGCATACATTTACATTTACAAACACCATGTAGCATTGCTCCGTCAGTACAGAGGCTTTAAATATGATGTGCTTGTCATTATGGATTAATTTAATGATGATGATTTTAAAAATCTAAAGGTTTTTGACCTTCAGTGGTGCTGATCTGAATTCTGTCAGACTCTGACAGCCAACATGTGCAAAGCGGTTAAAATATGGATATTTCAGGGTTTATTAGAAGAACTTCAGTAAATAGCAGAATACAAAAGACGTGTGACCTTTAAACTGAGTTCACATAGCAACTTGAATGGCAATTGTTGATACCTTTTTAAGAGCAACTTGTTTTTTGTATTTGATAATGAAAAAGTAAAATAAGGGACATTTCAAATGTGTTTTGATAATAACAATAATAATTATTATTATAGTATTTAAACTCATCATAATTTATTTTGAAATATAGGTTTCCATTAAACCCTACACAAGTGAGTCAATAGAATTTGTGATTAGACTACTTACAATGTTGTTGCTGTTATGCATACTGCTCAGCAGATGGCGCTAAAGGGATGTCATTCAAAATTACAACCAAAGCTCATTTTACAATAAGTGCATTTATCCACTTTAGCATTTCACTATAATATGTTTATTTCACTAAAGTTAAATGTCGAATTTCACTCTCCCATACTGCTTCTTGAGAGCTGTTCCAGGAAACACAAAGATAGTCAGGACACACTGATGAAGCAAACACATTTATTTATATCCTTAATTCACGGAACCAAGTGGCCCCTCAGTGTTAGTGTTGAATTTTAAGTGACCACACTCATATCAAGCTGAGGCCTTTTCAAAGTATTAAACACCTGACACCTCTGACTCCTGGGCAGCACACACGATCAAAACAAGTTATTCAATATACATTATTTTTGGAAGTACACAGAATTTAAAAGGGGGATTGTGAACTATAGAAGATGGGGTGTAAAGGTGATATCAGACTATAATTGTAAAGGGCATGCAAATTGTAAAAAGGGACACATTTTAGACATTTAAGTTGTTTTTCTAAAGTTGTGTCTTCAGGGGTCAGTTTATTAAACTATGGAGTCATCGACAATTCAACAAATCATTAAATAAACCATTAATCTTATCATGACTTGAGTCTGCAGTCCAGTCCAACAGGTTTGCAGCTCAACTCAGAATAGTGAGTACAGTGAGAACAGTGCTCCTTTCTTCTGCAGCACCTAGTAATGTGAAATGAGTTCGTTATAAATGACTTATACAAGCTCTCACTTATTATGTCTAGACACAAGATTAACACTTTATGAGATGTGTGATATAAATATGAGTTAAAATCAGGACAAAAGAAATCTGAATGGTCTATGACAGGATGAAGAAAGAGCCAAAACAGGAACTCGCCAGACAAGTTTAAAACAAGAATTACCACCCTGCAGTTGTATGTCCCGGCCAATCCAATTATTTAAACATTTGTAAAAATTCATTGTGATCTTTATCTTTTACCTCTGAAATCAAATTAGTTAATTACAAATGTGATGGTTATGTCACAACTTTGTTGAGCTTTAGTAAACCAGGGGGAAAAACAACAGGTCTCTGGACAGTCATGTATTGTGACACGAACATTATCTCTGACATCATTTCTGTGTTCAAGTGCATTGCGTCTGTATGAATGTGCAAATATGTCTGTTTCACTTAATGTTGCACAGCTCTAATGTGTTGATGCAATTAGTTATGAGTTACATATTATATCATGTGAGATGTTGTATTTTTCCAGAACAAGATTCCATTAAAAAGACACGCAGCTGCTGAATCATTTTTATTTACCCATTTGTACAGATCCTCAATGACAAATGGAGACAAGCAGGTTATGTATACATCTATGTTACAAAAATATCATGGTGCAGCTCTTCTGTCAAAACCTCTTCAGTGTAGCAGCGAACTCAAATCAAATGGAGACTTTAAAACCTGCTCAGACTCTGACATTCAGGGACCACACAACTATTTTATACTGAAAAATAGGTTATATATGTATATATTTACATTACCAGTCACTTCAAAACAATCTCACATTACTACAGTTACATCCTGTACATATTGCATCTTGCGCATGAGCTGAATTTTGTATTAGCCGTTAAATGGCATTTGCAGATGTGTGTATTTAAAAACACCATCTGACAGTCAATTTTCACAAGGTGGAAATAATGACTGAACACTCCCCTTTGCATTTTTGTCCGGCCTCATCACCGACTATCAAACCGCAACACAACCACAGATTTTTTTCACATGTCTGAGCAGCACTGAACTATTTAAACAAGTAATGTTTAAATTCCAACAACAGGATTCACAAAAAACACTTTCTCCTCCTCAGGGTTTCAATCAGAACATCCCGGAGTTAAAACAGGCTTTACATTCGTCTGTCAAGTCATAGATTCCAGTTTTGCAACTTTAGACGGAGCAGATTATCTGTCGAGCTGATGATTCACTGCCCTGATGGGAAATGACTGGGGGAGAAACTCTTGATTGCTTTGCAGCGAGAAACATTCAGACGGAAATATGCAGAGAAAAATCATCTGACCACGCACATGCAGAAAGCAGGCAATTCCCACTCATTAATAATAGCTGTACATGGCTAATATTGTAACTTCCACAAATAAATACATCTCATTAAAGCCCCAATACAGATGGTTAAATACAGTATATCAATGATTGGTACACAAAAGAAACATCTGTCAATTTAAAAAAATATTATAATAATTCTTCCACAGGGATACTAACTGTAATTTAGGCCTTTTGTCTCAGGTAAATAAAGATAATAAAACAATTGTTCCTGCACCCTTTGAGAGATAACAATTTCAATCACCATCAGAAACCCTAACCTCCAAGAGTGAAATAAATTAGGGTCATCATAAATTCTAGAACTTTTGTTAGCCCCTTTTAATCTTTAAATAAATTAAAAATAAAAACATTACAGAACTGTTAAGGGCAACCCTAGCATGACCTTGCAATAACTGCATCATGTGCTGCTTTAAAATATATACTCAAAGTTCATTTTTATTTGTAAGATGTAAAACAAACAAATAAAATAAAAAGTCATGTGACCAGTGCAGTGCCACATGACACGCCATGTTCTACATCTGGAATAGGTATTTAATACAGCAGTAAAGTTACAAAGATAAAACGTCACATTATTTGGAAAAAAACACAACATGCCAAACAAGACAGAAACATAACACCCCCTACAGGTCTGATTCACACGCAGACACTTAGCACTTGAAGAGCCCTTCAGACCAGATGATCTTTGTCCACAAAGGGTAATTATATGCTGAATGGACTGATAGTGCGTTAGGGATAATCGTATCATAGCTGCTATATTGGTTTTGGTTTAAAAGCGGACAGAAGCGATAAGGTGTGTTCCTTACGTCACATGCTACATTCCTTTTCTCTTGCTTGGCTCGCTATTTCCTCTGAAGAGGAAAAAGGTGCTTCTGCGCCATTACACAAAATAAAGGTTTGATATTATAAGGCAGGAAAATTTGTTTCCAATATACATTTAAAAAGAAACAAATTTAAATCAGCATTATATACAGGTGCAGTTAAACACTGCACATTTCAAGATATATCAAATCAAGATATCAACTGTGAGTGTCTACACTGTACACACTACCCAGCCAGTAACAAGTCGAACTCAGTGGAAATAAAGGCTGCTGTTGGAAGCTTTCATGAATCTCATGTTACATATCTCAATTTTATTGATTAATGTTATTAGAGACAACGCCATCCCCATAACGAGTTTGCAACTTTAGAGGCAAACCTAAACTTAAATCTCATCTAAAAATAAATATGTTGTTTTTCCTTTGTTTCCTTTGTGAGATGAAGTAAAAACAAGAGTTTTATATAAACCAGATATTTTCTGACTCAAAACTGGGAATGACTGGCTAGCAAACGGTTCATTTGTATTGTTATTTCTTTCCACGCTCTTGTAAAGTGCCCAGGTTTAGGATCTCTGTGCGGTCACAGGCTGGAGGGTTGAGCCTGCTGCTGTATCTGTGCGTGGTGGCTTGGCTGAGCCTGCTCACAGTCTTGTGGTCGCTCTTCCACCCCCCGTGCATATATGAGAATGAGGGTGACTGTAGCAAAGGTAGCTGCATTCACAGGGAAGGCTCGCAGCAGCGTGGAGGTGAGGCCCCGCGTGAACACCATGTAGCCCTCTCTCCTAACACTCTGTCGCACACAGTCAGCGATGCTGCTGTACTGGTTTACTCCACCCACCCCATCTGCCTGGAGCCGCGATTTGATCACATCCACGGGGTAAGTGGAGAGCCAGGAGGCGATGCCAGCCATGCCCCCAGCAAACAACAGCTTGGGGATCATGTAACGGTCGTTGGGCTCACAGCCAAGGCTACGCGTCAGCACATCGTAGGCTAGGAAATACACTCCGAAGCCAGGTGTTTCGCGGATAAGCGTGGTCACCATGCCTCTGTTCACGCCCCTCAGACCCTCACGGTTGTAGATGCGCACCAAGCAGTCCAGGGAGTTCTTGTACAACCTCCTGGAGGATTTCTTCTCCCCGGTGCCCTGCATTTGCATGCGGGTCTTAGCCAGCTCCATGGGGCAGCAGATGACACACTGGATTGCACCTGCTGCTGCACCTGCAAGAAACTGGTTCATGGGGGTGTCATGTCCCAGCTTACGCATGGTGTTTCCCTGAACACCAAACACTATAGCATTGATGAATGTAAGGCCCATCATGGGGGACCCAATGCCTTTGTACAAACCAAACAGCTGTGGAGAAAGAGAGAGATGGCACGTTAGACAAGCGGCTTAAAAAACTTTTTAAACTGTGTCATCATTTTTTTATATTGTGGGATTAACACAATCAAAGTTCTTGGTCTACATCTCACAGTGTGAAAACGCCCAGGTTTTCCTTCATTTTCCCTCCGAACAAAAATGTTACAGCAATCTTTGAATAACAAAACCTGTAATGTAAGTTCAAGTCATTTCTCAGGCTGCAGATGGTTTTCTTAAAGGTTCAGTGTGTAAGATTTAGGTGAAAAGGATCTATCAGCAGACATTTTATATAAAACAATCCTAGTGATGTTTCCACTAGTGTGTTTCACCCAAATTGTATGAATTGTTGTTTTCTTTTTTCTTTATCCGAGAACAAATCCTTTATATTTAAATACTTTATATTTACATTGGGAGTGGGTCCTTTCTACGGCCACCATGTTTTTTACAGTAGCCCGACTGGACAAACTAAACCCCTTTTGAGTTGTTATGACAACTGAAGGCTACCAGAGGTGACAGAGATGTCATGTTTTCAAGGAGAGGGTGAAGTGAGAGGTATTCAGCTGCAACTTCACCACTAGTTGTCACTAAATTCTACACACTGAACCTTTGAGCTTGAAATAAACAAACCAAACAGACCTGACCTGATTCTACAGAACTACATTCATTTCCACCAGGAATGTTCCCCAGCTTGGCTTTATGGCATCAGGTGACTCATTCAGTCATAAAACCAAGAGTATTTGAATATGACTCGTACCCATCTGACAATACTTCAATATACTCCAAACAATGAAGAACTGTTAAATACAGTTGCGCAACACAAATATTCCAAACATAACATAATATTCATGCCAGTGTTATGACTACATACAAACATCAGCATTAGATTTGTTTGGAAAATAAATCCACCTACCGACTCCTGCCGGATAATGGACTGGAAACAGTGGTAGGTCCCGCGGTACAGTGGCTTATCAACACTCTGGACCTGCAGTCTCACCTGCACGAGGAGACACTCTTCATATTAAACCCTGGACAACTACTATACATCATTACTGTTTCACACAGGAAATGTTAATGAATTATGTTCACGTCAATTAGATGCATACATTGTGTTGTGAAGACATAGAACGAACTTAAACTAAGCATTAGATAAATTTGTTTCTGGGAAAGGAACATTAATGAAACAAATGTATGAAAGTTAAGAAAGGGTTGATTGTTTGTATTTAACAGTTGGAATTTTTTTTATAAATGTGAGAAATTTCCCTGTGCGTTAAAAAAATAAACATTTCCTACCTTTACTGTGTCAAACGGGTGTCCAACCAAGACTCCAGCAGCACCTGAAGACACAAAGGAAAATAAAAATGAGTCCTCAAATTAACACCGTAAACAGGAAGGGCCTGAGAGGTGGAAAGATATGATTGATTTTAGTATTTTATTCTATATCAAATGTTTTTTTCACCAATTTAAAACAAATTATTCATAGCATTCAGGCATCTGAAATTACTGGCCACTTCACCTCAAGTTATTATTAACCTACTTACAGACACGATATGATACCCAATGCATGGCCCATGATAATGTCACGATACAGCCATTTTGCGATAATCAATATATTACAGGACAATAGTGATACGATCCTGCACTTAACCCAGAGAGGTTCAATGCAGGATTTGATTTATTTACTTTCACAGAGTTTGACATAAACTACAATTAAACATCGAACAAAAAAGTAAAGTCTTTTCTCAGTGCCTATTTTGTCTTTAACATACACACTGTAACTTATTAATTAGCCACATGTGCCATAATTCCAATGTAAAAAAAACTAATATATACATATATATATACATATATATACGTATATATACATATATATACATATATACCCCTCTATGTGTATGCATATATATATGTGTATGCATACACATAGAGAGAGAGAGAGAGAGAGAGAGAGACACTCGCTGTCTCTCTCTGCACTGGTTAATAACCTAACTGCTTTACGTGCAATAATGACTTCTAATCATGGAAAACCTGCGCGACCTGATTTGCAGTATTTAAACGTGGAGAAAGTACAGCACATGTTCGACAGTCTTTGCTGGGAGGCATATTCTACACAACTATCTGTGTCTTGGTTTCACACTGGGCTTGCTCAGTGTCACACACCCCACCACTCCCTTTATTGCACATCCACACTGATCTCATATAGAGGTTCTCTGAAATCGTACATAATAAGATCATAGGCGTGAGACACTCCAAACCTCTGATGACTTTTCATCACCCTTACAGTTACTGTGCACAGGCCTTTCCATCTGGCCCCTGCGCCCACAAACTTTGCTTCTGGCACTGTTGTGTAATTTTAGAGCATGCTGCCATCTCCCCCATGGCAACGCTGCCATATTGAGCCGCAGCCAGCTCACAGGGCATTGTCACCCTCTCAAACTTTCTTGAGCACATCTTTGAGCGTTACATAATTTGGGTTAACACAGCATATGCCCTTGATGAGATGCCAGTTTGGGCTTCTCACCTGAAACCTATAAACAGTTCCTATCCTGAACACACGCAACAACAAAAGGTGTAAATAACTTTTCCAACATTAAGAGGTCTCAAATCTGTAATTGTAATCTAAGTAATGGTCTGTTTTTATATGACAGTGTCTGTTTTTATGTTACAGTGTTTAGATCTTGGTTGTTTAAACTATATATTTTAAAATAATGAAGGGTTTTATATCATCTGGCATCTGGATCAAAAGTTGTCAAAGAGTTGAACAAACATTGGCAACAGCTCGCCTCGCAGCCCCTCCAATTCAGCTCCCAATAAAAACCACCTGAATTAATACTGAAGACATCCTAAATAGAAGAAGCTGTAGTGGAGGTAAAGACAACGTCTCCCATGATCTTTTGTTATTATTTTGATTAAGAGACGCATGGGGGCAGAAAACTACATATCGTGTGGTTAATAGTTAACCAGAGCTTATCTCAGGAAACTAACACTTGAAGAAGTACCTGCAGATTATAAACCTGCCCTCTTAGATATCCGCTGATGCCATAAAATGTCAAATATTATTATGATATGGGCAGTGTTGCTGATCAATGAGCAGAATGGCTTTCCTGCTTTCCTGTTATATTTTCAGTGTTGGTTGTATTTCTTGGTCAGGTAAAGAATTAAACTGTTTCAAAAAATAATATGCGGCCAAATAGACATGAAGGAAAATTAAAAACAGGGCTGAAGTTACTGACCCACCTGGGTCACCTCAGTAAACAAACAGTAAGCTAATCCTATAAGCACCTGCATTGTCACATGACTTATTTGTAAAATAGCCTATCAGGAGTGAGTTCTTGCTGTAAGCCGGCATGTGTTTGACACAATGAGCGGTCGTTGACGTCAATGTACTGGTATCAACTGAAGCGAGAAGAAAACATAAGCAGCAGGAGGATGTTGCATCATGGTTGTAATAACGAACCTAATGTGTTACCGGCCATCCTTTATGTCCAGGCACGTGAGCGTTTAACCTTCCTGCCAACTTCACTTGTCCCGAGCACCATGACACTTGGCTCACCTTGTTTTGACATTTGAGATGGTTGTCTTTAGATCAACGACAATGTGAGAGGGTGGAAAACCACATGGTGTGCCATGTCAGTCACAGGAGAATAAAAGGGAGCAGGGGATTGGTCTGTGGAGGGGTGTGCACTGATTCATGCTACCTGCCTGTGGCCTGTGTGGAAACTTAAAACAGCTCTGCCATCATGGCTCGAAAGCTCGGGTTGCACTTTTGTAGCGTTTGCTTACTTTCAGTTCTCTCCACAGGCTGCGCATGTGACACCAGGGGGGGAAGTGAAGAAGGTTGGAGTTTCCTTTATTACAAATAACCTGCCTGGTACTTTCATTCATTCATTCCTCAAAAACCTTTAGCGATCACAAATCTATTACAGGGATAATTACAATAACAAACTTCCTGTAATCACTGTAACTTCACCCTGCAGCTGAAAACACAATAACCCAGTGACAACCCACTCATTGTCCCAGCAGCAGGTCAGATGCAGGGAGATGACATTGTTTGCTGAAGTGTGCCGTCCTGCGGTGGAATTTAGAAAATGCACTTGAAATCACGAGAAAGAGTTGCATCACATAGGTTTGTGTGATGCTGGAGCATAAATAAAGAGGAGCACGTCAGCCCGGGCGAAGTGGGTGAACTACCTGTGAGGTCTCGGATCAAGGTGGCCGCTTGGCAAGTGTGCTCATCTAGCTAGCGATAAGACAAGTGGGTGAAACAAGCGCTTACCTCCGATGCATCCTGCAACGAAGTCCATCGCCGCTCTTCAGCGTCTCTTCTCGGCTGAGGGATGGTTCGATCGTGGTCTGAATGAAGAGGATGTGTTTGAAACCTTGATTTCAGAAACCGTTCACTTCTTAAAGCACCTGACAGCTACTGTTAAATCTAGCTTATCTGTTAGCTAGCAGCGGCTAGCTAGTTACGAGTCTCTTGGCTACAAGTCTTTACAGTTCGGTTGTCGCTGAAACTCGTCCTCTGTTTAACCGATTGAAAGTCCGCTGCTCTCCTACTCGACCTCCATGAACCGTAGTGGCGATGACAGGCAGCCGCTCCTTCGTCCGTGCAGCTGTAGCAGCAAGCTAGGAGAAGAGGCGGGAGTTACCGGCGTCGGCTCGAGTTTCTGTCCAATCGGAGCGGAGAGGCAACGCCGACACCCCGCTTCCTCCAGATAATCCTCGTCGCTCATTGGCTGAGGGCCTGCAAGGGCTCCCAATGTCGAGATGCGTAATCTGTCCCGTGTGATGTTTTGCTTTTGAATGGACGGTCCAGAGATCCGCGTGCGTAGATGGAGACAGTTGTGTCAACAGTGAATGTTATTTCTACAAAGATGATTAACAGTTGTCACAATTTATTCGTTTTTTTAAACAACTTTTTCAATGGAAAAAAACTTATATAGAAGGAAATCAGGTATATACTAGTATACATATGATAATAACATTATAATAACTCTATTTATATAACACCTTTAAAAAAAGCTACAGTTACAAAGTGATTATTGAAGAATATAATATATCTTCATAATATATCATAGTTCATATAATAATAATACAAAACATTTATATATATATATAATTTTACTGGACAAATAAAGCAAGGGATAAACCCAATAGACATAGAAGCAGAGACACATAAGTATAGTATAATAAACAGGTTTAGATAAGAGTGAAGATCAGTAAACATCTGATAAAATACACTTTATTGATCCCATCTATCGAGGAAAGTCACTTGTTACAGCATCAGAATGAGGTTGACAAGAAAATAAAATAGGCAATATAATCTAATAAAATGTAAAAAAATATATATATATTCACCACCAGTGAAAATATTATTTGTAGAGGAAAGTGCAGTGGCACAGGAGGGTGAATACTCTCCTCAGTTAGAATAATACAGTTGATCAGATATCGTCCTCAGGTTTAATAAAGTACCAGACGACATCTTTGATTCTATCTTTGATTCTAACATTCTATGTATTTCTAAATGTACAGTTTCAAGAAATGATGTAGTTTTAACGAAGTTTACGAAGCTTTAAGAACAGATATTTTATGATGTAGAGTATAAACACGCGAGACATTAATGATGTTTGGCTCCCACATGATTTGATGCTGATGTCTCTGAGGTCTTCCACCCATGCAGTCACAGCGGGTCCCTCGGCTAAACCCGGAAGCGCTGCTGTTTGGCTGAGAGCGTGACACTCCTCCTTCCTCACGTCACGTAACAGCAGCACGCTGAAGGTTATCGTGGGTTTGTATGAAGCGGAGGGAAGAATGCACTCTCATCCGATAACTACCTGCGGACCTGTCACCATCTGACGACATGCAGCTCATTGATTTTGTCTCCGGATCGCTGGCAGGTAAATGCTACGATGCTAGTTTAGCTAGTTTTGGATTGAACGTCAACAGTAAGGAGGCTGCAGTGTTTGCTACATGGCTAAGTTAGCTGCTGTCGGTGAATGTGACTGCAGGACAGCACATTCAAACTACTTCTATTTCTACATGATATATCTGTATGTGTATTAAATAAGTAGTGTTTGTTTCTTGCAAGGCTCGGCAATGAAACAATATCGACGATTATCATCAATAGCAACGTTATACAGGTTTAATAAGCATATCGATACAAGATAATGTTTATGCATGGTGTATAAACACAGTCTATGGTATGAACACATTCAGGATCTACCTCAGATTTGTGTTTATCAAGTGTCGAGAGTCAACATTGAAGAGATCGTTATTGTCACTGTGTAAGTACAATGACATTATAAGTTATATTAGATGCCCAATTGGTACATTTAAAAAATAAATGTACTTAACCCTAAAAGCTTCCTCTGAAAAAACCCTGAAAATAGG